TTTTTCTTTCCTGTATTAATAAAGTTACTATTTTCTCCCTACTTCTAAAAATATTAATGTCGTTAAGAAGCAGTAAAACTCACCAATGCATTTTTCTTTCTCAATTTTGTACCCAGAGATACAGTCGCACGAGTATTTGGAGTCATTTAGTTTGTCATTATTGCAAGTAAAGAATTTTCCTTTCTTTTGACACGCCTCTTTCCCTCCGTAGTCCTTGCATCCAGTTTTAACTGAAATACAATAAAAAATTTCATTTGTGATATGGGAAATAGTTGTAAACATTTTTTTAGGAAATATGAATTGACATTTTTTTCTATCCTGTATTAATAAAGTTACTCTTTTTTCCCTACTACAAAAAATATTAATGCAGTTAAGAAACAGTAAAACTTACCAATGCATTTTTCTTTCTCCATTTTGTACCCAGGGAGACAGTCACATGAGTATTTGGAGGCATTTAGTTTGTCATTATTGCAAGTAAAGAATTTTCCTTTCTTTTGACACGCCTCTTTCCCTCCGTAGTCCTCGCATCCAGTTTTAACTGAAATACAATAAAAAATTTCATTTGTGATATGGGAAATAGTTGTCAACATTTTTTTTAAAGAAATATGAATTGACATTTTTTCTTTCCTGTATTAATAAAGTTACTCGTTTTTCCCTACTACTAAAAGTATTTATGTCGTTAAGAAAGAGTAAAACTCACCAATGCATTTTTCTTCCTCCATTTTGTACCCCGGGAGACAGTCGCACGAGTATTTGGAGGCCTTTAGTTTGTCATTATTGCAAGTAAAGAATTCTCCTTTCTTTTGACACGCCTCTTTCCCTCCGTAGTCCTCGCATCCAGTTTTAACTGAAATACAATAAAAATTGTGATAAGGGAAATAGTTGTAAACATTCTTTTTTAAGAAATATGAATTGACATTTTTTTCTTTCCTGTATTAATAAAGTTACTCTTTTTTCCCTACTTCTAAAAATATTAATGTCGTTAAGAAGCAGTAAAACTCACCAATGCATTTTTCTTTCTCAATTTTGTACCCAGAGATACAGTCGCACGAGTATTTGGAGGCATTTAGTTCGTCATTATTGCAAGTAAAGAATTTTCCTTTCTTTTGACACGCCTCTTTCCCTCCGTAGTCCTCGCATCCAGTNCCTCGCATCCAGTTTTAACTGAAATACAATAAAAAATTTCATTTGTGATATGGGAAATAGCTGTAAACATTTTTTTAGGAAATATGAATTAACATTTTTTTCTTTCCTGTATTAATAAAGTTACTCTTTTTTCCCTACTACAAAAAATATTAATGCAGTTAAGAAACAGTAAAACTTACCAATGCATTTTTCTTTCTCCATTTTGTACCCAGGGAGACAGTCACATGAGTATTTGGAGGCATTTAGTTTGTCATTATTGCAAGTAAAGAATTTTCCTTTCTTTTGACACGCCTCTTTCCCTCCGTAGTCCTCGCATCCAGTTTTAACTGAAATACAATAAAAAATTTCATTTGTGATATGGGAAATAGTTGTAAACATTTTTTTTTAAGAAATATGAATTGACATTC